GGTGTAGGCACCTCGGAATGATTGTGGTAAGCTAGCACTAAGTCCCTCCCCCATCCACCTTTATTCTTTTCTTTACAATAAGGCTTTCAAATAAATCATGGTTGTACGGCAGTGAAGCATCGGTGTTGAGCACTGATGTCACGCTGTCGATGATGATGATGATGATGATGAGTACTAAACAGGATGTACTATTTTGGGCAATGCTACATGTGGAACAGCATGAGGGCTCTTTAGCCTCTTAAGCCGCAGGGAATAAGACTGGAACCACTACATAGTTGGTGAGCCCGACGTGACGTTCGATTTTAGGGATCCTCCGTGTTTAGCTTTTCAAAACCAAACATTGTTTTCTTATCAACTCGACAGTACTCACAGGGGAATCCGGGGATCAAACGGATACCATTTCACGGGTTCTCGTGACAGAACATGCGGAATGCACCACTCATTCAACAGGCGGGGAACGTAGGACTTCAACTCCTCGGTGAGCAAAAACACAACCTGTGCTACTGTACGAGGCAAAACAGAGTACCTTCAATTCTGTTTAACTTGGATTACCAAAATATACAAAAGTTTGCTTTTTATTAAAATACACAGTGATGCTTCGCTATCATACGGTGGTAGAATACGATGTACATAAAAGGTGTGAAAATGTCACTTTGTTGTTCCTTAGTTAAAATATCCCGTCAGAGTTAAGAACCTCTTAATGTGTAACGCACTGCACCTCTTTGACAGCCACTTTTAGTCGAAGTCATCCAAAAACACCTAAAGATTGAATTTCCCTAATGTCGATAGCAGCAGTACAAGAAAATTTGCTCGTAAGTTAACAAACAAAAAAACGAAGGAGATTCTCGAGAGGCGTAATGCTGAAGATACCCACCAAAGAAGAAACGGTTGTACAGTGCCTCTCGACTTTTCTGCATAAACTGACCTCACTTTAATGCTGAAATCTCGACTTATGATTCACAAATTTCCTCACACCATCAACAGCTGTTGATCCGGTGGTTGTTGGCTTGTTTGTCGAGATTCGCGGTCAGTTTGAAAACGCTTTGTCACCAATCGATTGCAAGCCGACATGTTTGCAAGCTAATAGCCAAGCCTGAAGGTGAGTATTCTTCACTGGTGTTATTCTGGTAATGATTGGTCCTGCAGACCAGATGTGGGATATGTTCCGTCATTATTCCATTCAGGCTCAAACCCCAAGTGAGCAGTACTCATGGGCTTTCGATTGAGGTGTTTTTACAATGTACCATGAGCTGTCAGTCTAAAAGTCAGTGGTAGTGCAGCACTCAATTCATCTCTCATACAAAGTTGATCTCTACACCTATAAATCATGGTTTCCGTTAAGTTTTCTTTTTTATGTTCCGCGGCTCGAAAAGAGCAAACTCATTCGTAAGCCACAACGGCGTGCAAGTTTCTCAACACTAACTAGAGGCCTGTTTAAAACATTTCTACACGCTCTACCTTTGCAACCTAAACGAGTGATTCAGCTTGGATTCGCTTATGTCTCTCATTCACATCAAACTAATTTCTGAGTACGCAACTCCACTTAAGCGCACTTTCCAGCTCAAACAGCATTATGGACTACTTAAACTCGAGAGGTGTGTTCAAGGTCACAGGAAGGGCGAAGCTGACAATGGATAAAGGAAGAATTTTCAACAGCATACAACTATCATCAACGCACGTAAAAAATATGTCCCAGAAAAAATGCTGTCCAGAGTCGTCCGTCTCAATGTTTGTTTGCCTTGCTGTACAGTGGTTGTAGCTACAACAAATTCGTCCGACGGTGGTTTGGTGAGTTAGCAGTAGATAGCTACTCATTGGAGATGATAGCTGATATAATTGATGCGTGAATACAAGGCCGTTAGTGGGCTTTTCATTGGGTAGGTGGGAGGGGGGAACCATGCACTGGAGGTAACGACTTGAACGTATGCCACCATCATCCAGGGGGAGAGTTGGTTGCTTCTCCTCGGATTTTAAGCTACAAGAAACATGCTCAGAGAGCTTTTTTTGCCCCGGTCCAACGTTTAGAAAACTCTCTTCCCAGCCTTCCCAAAATGAACGTCTCTTTCGAGTTTCGCAAAATGTGTACTGAAGGTACTAACTAAACTTGAGCTAGCTAGACTACGTAGAACCATACGTATTCCTACTGTAGGACGTCTTACGCACCTCGTTGTCCGGATACATTTCAACTTCTCACTCTGCCTGGAACGTCTCTAGTTCTTTGAATCAACCATATATATTGACGTAGTACAAGACTCGTAAGTTTGATGAAAACCTAGCGAATATACACTCATTTGCAAACTAATTTGGTTTTCGAGATTACTCACCTGGGACCCAGCTGAATCTCTCGTTTGTGATGTTCCAGATGAGTCTCTTGAAAAACCAAATTTTTTTTAAATGAGTGTGTATTCCCTATTTTTGTGCAATTTGGTTTCAAGTAGGACATAGGGTTGACGGAAACTCGGGGACTCCGCCCATCTGATGAGGCCCAAGAAGGGCGAAACTGGTTGTGGGCTGTCGACGAATTTTCAGCAACCTTATGAGTAGTGCATTAGAAATTTGATGAAGACCCTTCAAAGCCCACGACTGGTCTTGCAGCGCATCATTAACGAGATATTCAGCCGGGTTTCAGGTGAATCTCCCAATAAAACCACATTGGTGTGCAGCTGAGTGTGCAAGTCAAACTGTCAAAATTGTTCATATTTCCCTATGTTTTTATTAGCCACACAGTTTTATCACCCGCTGTTGTCTGATCCCTCCTAGACAATTGCAACATTATCCGGAACCTTCCGGCTTATTCGTGGGGAACGTTACTGAAGAAAGCCACCAAAACAGTTTTACCGATTTGAGACATCTCGTACGGAGATCGAACGTCCGTTTTGCTATCATCCTATTCAAAAAGGCCATCTTGAAGGATATGTGGACTGTTTCAAACTCTCAACTAACTTTGTTTTTGCGAACTGTCAAAATAATCTCGTAAAATTCTCCTCCATTGTCTTGCAGCTCGCCCAAGCTGAACTGTCTCTCCATCAGTAGCTGTCCTCTTCAAAGAATAAACTCCTTTCATTCAGAACATCAGTGTTTTCCGGATGGACGCTTGAGTGGTCACTAATTTTCCTGTTGTACCCAGCCACCCGGTACTCATCGGTATTCCTCAGGTAGTTTTTTTCACTGCTTTTATGTAAGCGTTCAAATTAATGTGTATCCATGTAACTACAGTGTGCATCTAATTGGTGGTCGGCTAGCTGTAATTCCCCCTTCCTGCCCCACTTTTTCTTTTCTCTTTTGAGGCTGTTTTTCAAAGAAATTGATGTGGCCGTACGGCAGAGAACTAACAGTGATCCGAATCATTGTCACCGCCAACGATGATAATAACAATACTAATTTTATTATGTTATTTACTATTATCTTATATATACATCTATTTATCTATTTATTTATTTTTATTGTTCTGGCACATGGTTTATAGCTGATAAGTTGAACCAAAATTGAAATTGTTCTGGTGATAGTGATGTATACTTGTGTTTATAATTGCCTGATACACCTTCACTATGCGTGTCCAGCATCGTACTTGACTAGACGAATTTTAGTGAAGGGTAAGAGTTTACCTTTGGTGTTTAACGTTGAAACATCTTCGTATGCCATATTTAGCATTCTGTTTACTTTCTTTAAAAGCAGGGGAAAAGCTGCCCTCATTTGATGCATAAACGATTTCAATTAGTTTGGCTCGTCACGTGATTTTGGTTAGTTCAAAGTTTGCATCAGCATTCGCTCACAGTCCGCGTCAGATATGCGGAATCCAGTCGTCATCATGGCGAAGGATATGCACTACTGATGAGGTCAAGTAAGAGCAAAACTCGAGTCCACTGCTTCCCCACTTTGGCATGTACTCACTAAAATAATTGCACCAGGACTGGAGCAGGATTGCTCAATTGAGGGTGATGTTTACTCTAACTGACCGTTTATAACAAATTCTATAAGATGGAGAAATTTTTTGGTATTTTCACGCAATCTGCCGGCATGAAAAAAAAAACAGAAATCTCAAGTTCTAGTATTTTACTCGTCAGATATCCTCCAGCTTGAGTGTAGAAGGCGACTGGAACAAAGTTTCATTGCACTGCACTGTTTAAAGAATTTCGGGTGTAACCGACACTGCAATCACGAAGAACCGGGCGAATAATAAAGCATCTGTTTTCTGTAACCAGAGGGTTTTGAGACCCGGTGAGATCTGTTTTAAAGTGTAATTCTTCGAGACAGAAAAGCAGTCTGTCCTGCCGGCGTACATGTCAGCGCAACTGCAGGTGAAATGATGACGGATAGCATGGATGGCAGAAAGATCGATCTCTCGAGGTTGGCTAGTTTGGAATCCCCACTTTTTCTTTTCTCTTTTGAGGCTGTTTTTCAAAGAAATTGATGTGGCCGTACGGCAGAGAACTAACAGTGATCCGAATCATTGTCACCGCCAACGATGATAATAACAATACTAATTTTATTATGTTATTTACTATTATCTTATATATACATCTATTTATCTATTTATTTATTTTTATTGTTCTGGCACATGGTTTATAGCTGATAAGTTGAACCAAAATTGAAATTGTTCTGGTGATAGTGATGTATACTTGTGTTTATAATTGCCTGATACACCTTCACTATGCGTGTCCAGCATCGTACTTGACTAGACGAATTTTAGTGAAGGGTAAGAGTTTACCTTTGGTGTTTAACGTTGAAACATCTTCGTATGCCATATTTAGCATTCTGTTTACTTTCTTTAAAAGCAGGGGAAAAGCTGCCCTCATTTGATGCATAAACGATTTCAATTAGTTTGGCTCGTCACGTGATTTTGGTTAGTTCAAAGTTTGCATCAGCATTCGCTCACAGTCCGCGTCAGATATGCGGAATCCAGTCGTCATCATGGCGAAGGATATGCACTACTGATGAGGTCAAGTAAGAGCAAAACTCGAGTCCACTGCTTCCCCACTTTGGCATGTACTCACTAAAATAATTGCACCAGGACTGGAGCAGGATTGCTCAATTGAGGGTGATGTTTACTCTAACTGACCGTTTATAACAAATTCTATAAGATGGAGAAATTTTTTGGTATTTTCACGCAATCTGCCGGCATGAAAAAAAAACAGAAATCTCAAGTTCTAGTATTTTACTTGTCAAATATCCTCCAGCTTGAGTGTAGAAGGCGACTGGAACAAAGTTTCATTGCACTGCACTGTTTAAAGAATTTCGGGTGTAACCGACACTGCAATCACGAAGAACCGGGCGAATAATAAAGCATCTGTTTTCTGTAACCAGAGGGTTTTGAGACCCGGTGAGATCTGTTTTAAAGTGTAATTCTTCGAGACAGAAAAGCAGTCTGTCCTGCCGGCGTACATGTCAGCGCAACTGCAGGTGAAATGATGACGGATAGCATGGATGGCAGAAAGATCGATCTCTCGAGGTTGGCTAGTTTGGAATCCCAGGGTCGGGGTGGACAGATTTCGTCTTGGTTGCGCGACCGGAAAAGTACTATCAAAGCAGCCGTTGGTCTTTGTCTAACCTTGGCGAATATGTAGTCCTGTTTAATTGGTCGTCTCAAGAAAACTTTCTTTTCCACAGTAGCAACCTGTATTGGTTTAGGATGCGTTCGGACAAGGCGTTCCGGAGAGTCGTTATTTGACAGATTTCGTTTCAAGAACACTATGTTCTTCTTTGTGCAGTTCTTCGAGGGTGCAAATGTGTCATTCTCTGTGTCTTGGCTGACACACTTATGCATAACTTCAAAAGTGAATGTGCTTATCAACCCAGGTTGTTTAACGGTGGATAGCATGAGTCGGAGTGTGATCTGGACATATTTTGAGCAGAATACTTAAGGAGGGTAGCCTGTTTTTTACTCTCCCCTTATCATACAGAGGAAAGCTGGGGTGAAGATAGTAGGGAAACCGAAATATTTTTGTTGTATTGCACTCGACTGCAAACCAATTTGTTTTTCACGGAAGATTAAACATAATCTCAGCTATATCCCTCGTTTATTATATTGTTCAGCTGAGTATGCGACACAGAGGACGCCTGGTGGTTCAGTTGTTAAGGTATTCAAGATATCGCATCATACTTTCTTGAATGAAACTACTCACAAGGTGGCTGAAAATTTTTCGACAACCGGTCCCCCCACCCTAGGGGCTTATAAGGCAGGCGCGGTCCCGCAGCTTCCTTCAACCTCATGTTCAACTTGAATCCAACTTGAGCCCATTTGGACGCCATCAATGTGATGGTTGTTATTACTCTGAAAACCAAATGGAATATATATTCTGTACACAGAAAGATCACATACTTCAGTGGATGCCTACTAACATGTTTTGGCTAACTATGTGGTCATGCAGAAAACCAGCAGTGTGATATCGTGCTCAGCCGGTAAAAATCGATTCAACATCAGTGAAGATCAATTTGGTTGGATGCTCTGATGTTGCGTCGATAAGCTGACAAGTTCCAAAGGATTACTTCAAGTGATGGAGAGTGCCAAACTTGTCTAGATTGAATGTGAAAGGTCGCTTAACCACCTCACCGAGGTGTGCATGTTTAATAAGGGTCTGAATGGACGGTTTAGGAACGTGAATCCCGCATTCTAGGCGTTTGGGCTCCGTAAGACTCAAGCCTGCGTGTCCCTAATTCAGTGACGGAACCGTGAAGACTTCCGGTTGCTGATTTTCCAGTGACAGCTTTGTGTTCTCTAGTGTGGTATCTCCACGCACATCCAAGTTGAAACATTGTCCGCCTGAGTGAATAGATATAATTTTTTGGAAAATATCCAGCTGAAGTCACATGCTACAATACGAGATCCTCTGCCTAGGCAAAGAAATCGGACGTCTTCAGTTTATCGAAGATGTTGGATAGTTAGACAGTGCGCATATATCAAGGGAGGATAGAAACTAATCCACAATTCTTGCCCAAAACCATCCTGCTTTATGCGAGCCAGTTGGTGTGAGTTCCCTGATTTGATCACATGGGCACCCAAACTGGACTTGCTATTTATTTTGAATTTGCCATCGACCAATGACACCTCTATCTGAGCTGTGGTAAACTGGACACTGGAAGTATTGCGAACGTGTTTCTGACCCCCTGTGGATAATGTGTAAGCTGTACCAGTCATGATTCCAACTGTGAAGTAGCGGTCTGTTTGTTTTGACTACTCTAGAGTAACATGACTTACGCTGTTTGTTATAACGCCGTTTTGCTGTCCTGTAGTTATGTTCACGGGTTTTTGCTCCCCTTTAAGGTCATCTTATGCTGTAGTTACTGATATCAATATTTCGTTGTCTGTCCGCCTTCGTTTGTAATTTCGTACAGGGTTTGCCCATTTTCGCGTGTCTGCTCCGATGAGGGTCAAATTATGAGCGTTTCGGATGGCAGGTGAGCGCGCTATCCGCTACGCCAATGCGACTTCCATTTGGCGAATGGCACTTGCTGCTCTCATCTAAAGACTGTAGATATTTAATTTTTGCGAAATTCATGTTACACATTTTCCAGACATTTTCTGTTATCTCTCGA